CCCCCTCTCTCTGGCTTCCCTCGACGTCTGCAGGCCTGCAGCCCCGCAGTCTGCTGGAGAGGGGCTCGCGTGAGTGTGTTGGGGGGGGGGTAAAAGGATGAGAGGAGGAGCGGGCTGGCGGCTCAGATGAGGGAATAGGAAGCCAGAATGAGAGGATAGGGGGCTTCGGGGGCCCTTCTAAAGTGAGGGGAGTCGGAGCATGTGAGGCGTTATCAGGGGAGTCAGGAGTAGGAAGTGAGGTAAGGGGTTGAAACTAGGGACTAGGGAGGTACATTGAAGGGGGGGGGGGGTAGACTAAATTGGAGCGTGTCTAGGGCAACAGAAGGAGAAACTACATTGGAGGTGAGCTCAGAAATAGGAAAAGTTAAACGCTGGAAGATTAGCTCATCACCTTGATGACTCATGCGGCCTAATTGGGACGCTTAGTTATAAGAACAATCAAGGGCGTTTCCCCTCAAGGTGACGCGGCGAGAGCGATGGAGTGCCGCCAGATCAGAGTGACAGTCGTAGTGTGACACAGCACGGGGCCAACGTGAGGTGAGACTGACGGGGTCCAAGAGGTTGTAAAGAAACAGAGTCAGAAGCTAGGAAACTAAAGTCTGCGTGCGTGCGTGTCTAGTACGGCGTGTTCTTGGACAAAGCCGTTGTCTGGAGGTTTCTGGTCTCTCTGGTGATCTCATCATCTTCCAGCCTGTTGCCATTAGATGGTGTGTGCGCGTGCAGCAGCGATGTGTGTCTGCAATAATTTAGTCCTTTAGTGATTTAGTGTGTGTATTCTGTTGAGCTTGCAGAAACTTGGTGTGCGGCTGCCGCGAGCGTGTTTTAAAGTGTGTGTGTGTGTGTGTGTGTGTGTGTGTGTGGTTGAGTCGGTAGCCAGGGACTCCAAGCCACAATATTTTCCCCCTTCAGTCGTGTTGTTTTATAACATTCATAGAGAGTGAGGGGGGAAAACGGAGTGCGGGGTTGGTGTGTGGTTCGGATAAATACAGTAGTGAAGAAGAAGAGGTGTGCAGGAAGATCTGGAGGGCTAGCCTGAGGGTGGAGGAAGAGAGAGAGGGGTGTAGGAAGTGTTTGCTGAGTGGGTTGGGGTTGAGCACACAGTAGCTCCAGTGACCTGAGAAGGACAATATTTGCAGACCACACTTGACATGCACAAACACACGCCCACACGTAGGGCGAAAATACGGCCCCTGACAACTCCAGGTACTTATTTACCAAAAAGATGCAGCGCGCGCCGGTTCCCACACGTCACGGTGCGTGCGTGTCCTGGGATTCTACGTCTGAAGGGAGCTACGGTACTTGGAGGCGCTCTGATGAAGCGGAGGTGCAACAGCTGTCTGGTTTCCATCTCGCAGAAAGAGGTCGTTGTCCTCCGTCAGATCCGTTTGACCCGTTACAAAACTCAATCCGCCGGAGGATCAACGTTTATTTATTTTTTCATCATCATCATCAATCAGTATTTTGATTATTTTCTGGATTTGTCTCGTAGTAAAAAAATAAATAGTGAAAAATGTCCGTTTTCCAATTTCCTGTCACGTCTTCAAGTGTCTTGTTTTGGCCGACCAGCAGTCCGAAACCCAAAGACCTTCAGTTTACCGCCACGCAAGATGAAGAAAAGCGGAGAATCCCCACAATTTAGAAGCTGAAACGAGGGAATGTTTGGTATGTTTGCTTGAAAAATGGCTTTGACGATTTGTCAAAATAGTTGTCGCTAACGACTAATCAGTGAACCGCCTTGGCTGTAAACACAACAACACTGATTTATACACAAGCCAACAACCCACAGCCGCAGCCATGTATTTTCTCTCCCAAGGCCTCGTGGTTCGTGGAGACGCACAGAGGCGCCGCTAAATTACATTTCTTTTCCTGCGATTGTCTAAACTCTCTGTGTCTCATTGTATTTATTCTGTCACGATGCACCTCGAGGGGAAGTTTTTGTGTTTCTGTGCAAGCACAGTTTCCGTCTCTCACCGTCCTGCTGTTCATGTCCTTGTGTGGTACACCCTCACCACCATACACCACCACTACAGGTATGTGTGTCTCAGTCAGCATGATTCAACTTCACCTTCATGTGAGCAGGCCTGTGAGAGGGAGCACAGCAGGTGAGAGCAATGGTATGTTCTTCCCAAGGCTTGAATGTTGCAGAGGTTCAAGTCTTCTTCAATACAGCATGATGTTCATTTATTAAATTCTGGTCCATTTAGAGGAAAATAGACCATGAAGCAGGGTATGCTTTAGAGCGGGGCGACCTTGTGTTGGACAGGTCGCCAGAGCCTTATACGGCGTCTCTACCACAGCGTCACTCCTGCAGTCACCGGTTGCTAAAATCCAAGATGGCGACGGCCACAATGACGAACTCGAGGCTTCAAAACGGTACCACAAACCAGCGGGTGACGTCACAACGACTACATCCTTACAATGTATGGTCTGAGTCCACAAAAGTTTGTTTGTGATGGGCGTTTTGGTCCGGATGTGCAGCTCCTTATCCACCCTCTGCTGCCCCGCCCATTTCCGCTGCAATCACTTTTGTATTCCTTATTCCGGTTTAGCGCTAGCAGCGTTGTAAACAATGACAATGGCCTGCTTTTTTGGTGCTTTCCGTCAATGACGCTGCGTCTCCTTGTTTGCAGATGTGCTCAGTTGTGAGTCAGACTCTTTCAATACTTCAGTACTTGCTGCATCGCTGTTTCAACATTTAGATACGAACACAGGAGAGACACAAGAAGTGGGGACTTCCTCGATGGTTTTGAATGTATGTCAGTAGGGACAACACCTGTACGCTGTGCCTCATACCTGCTCTTATTCTGTGTGATCCACAACCACAATAGAGCTGCTTGACCTCTCGTTGAACTACAACACAATACAAAACCCAGATTAGAAAACGCACCCTCTCTCTCACACACACACAAACACACACACACGGGCCCCACCTTACTCTCTTTGTTTCTTCGGAGCCAGGCAGAGGGTGAGGCTTCAGTCGTCATGTTCACACCCTTCCTCACCCAGCGAGCGAACATCCTGCTCTCCTATTGGTCTGCTCCCCATCTAGCGTGTGTGTGCGCGTGTTTGTGCATGCGTATGTGTGTGCACAAGGGAGTAATAGCCTGTGTTCTTGCCCATTTTATTAATAGTTAAAGGCTAACTTGTCTCCAGACTGTGGACTTTAATCAGGACACACACACA